AGCGTGGCCATCCCCCTGGGGGGTGATTTCTTGCTTTCTGTTTCTCTGTCTCTCTCTCTGTCTTTCTGGCAAGTGGACACGTCCTACAGCAAAAACGTCTAAAACAAATAATAAAAGAAAAAAGAAAGAATAAGCAGAACAGCCCTGTTTGTGTCACTCCCACAACCAGGTTCTATGTTGTGTGCTTAAGGTTAAGCCTGTCAGAGTATTTTTATTCAAATCAAGTTTATTTTTGTTTCTGTTTTTTGAAAGAGAGATTTTTGCCATAGGGCACATGTGCTCACCAGAGAGACAGAGACAGAGAGACAGACAGCGAGAAATCACTCCTCGAGGGGGATGGCCACGCCGCAATCCCTTCTCCTCCATCCTCCTCCCGGGATCTTGGGCGCACACACACACGCACTCAGAGTGAAGTTTAAGCCTCCGAGTCTGAACTTTGAACTGTAATCGGCTACGTGGGAGCCCAGTGAGGCAACCATTATGCAATCTGCTGGTCCCAAATCAAGTTTGCTGTAAATATTAGCTACAGCAGGGAGAATCAGACACCAAAATTTAATATATGTTTATTGTATGTGAAGTAAAAAGCCTAATTCATGACAGGAAAAGAAAGGGAAAAAATATTGAGATCAAGTATACTTTAATGTATAAAAGACCTACAACCCTAGCTATTTTATTTTAGGACATAAAATATAGCTAGGATAATATTCTCTTACTCATTGAAAGGTACTTGAAATACTTTTTCTCCTAGTATCTTGAAGGAGAATATCTGAAGTATGGTTTCTTTCTTTCTTTTTTTTTTTTTAAAGAACTACTTACTGGGACCAGCAGATGACATAATAGTTATGCTACTGTACTCCCACATGGCCAACCACTGTTCGAGTCCCAGACCCAGAGACTTGAAACTCAAGCTGGGCACATTCTCCAGAGAGGAGAAATGGAAAAGAGACTATGGCATGCTCATCCCCCCTTGGGGGTGATTTCTCACTTCCTGTCTGTCTCTCTGGTGAATGCATGCACCCTGTAGCAAAAATATCTTAAAAAAAAAAAAATTAATTGGGGCTAGCAGATGTCATAGTGGTTACATGTTGAGTTCCTGGCTTCACAATTGGCTGACGGCAGTTCACGTCCCAGACGGCAGTCCAGCCTCCCAAACGGCTGACTGCAATTCATGTCCCAGATCTGAAATTCAAGCCAGGCAGGTGTGCATGCATGCTCAATATCCCGGGAGGAGCATGGAGAAAGGATTGCAGTATGGCCATCCACCCTGGAAGGTAAGGTCTCACTTTCCCTCTCATTGTCTCTGCCTCTCTCTCTCTCTCTGGAGAGCACACATGCCCTAAGGCAAAAACTTCTTAAAAAAAATAAACACACAAGAATTATTTATTTTTATTTATCTTTTTTTTCTTTTTTTTTTTAACTTGCTAAAGAGCATGTGCACTCGCCAGGGAGAGAGAGAGAGAGAAAGTGAGAAAGGAAGTCACCAGCTCTGGGACTCGGACCACAGTCTATCACATGGGTGTTTAGCACCTTAACCACCATGCTACCTGCTGGCCCCTGAGGTACAGTTTCTACAGTTACTTGGGAAAGGAAATTGAGAACTTTAAGCAAAAAGGAATTCCCAACTAGAAGCAGAGAGAAAAACACCCTGACTTACCTGGGACCTGGCAGTAAACAGCTTGGCCTCCATGTCCTCTTCGCTCTCCAGTGACATGAACACCCTGAGAGGGTGAAGCTTGGAAAAAGAAACAAGAGGGAGTTTGCTAGGACTGGAAGGCACCCTAAATTGTCAGTCTACGCTCCCTCATCCCAGTGGGGCAACAGAGACAACCAGTACACAGAGCAATAGCAGAGAGGGGACGGACTTATTCCTCAGATGAATCTATAATGCCTCAACTCCCCACAATTAGGAATAAGAGAGCTACATAAGTTGCATTTTTACCCCTAACCTTTGAGGTTCTATACTAAATTTCATTTGGAATTGAATGGTTCTACCCTACCACTGCAAATCTTACTGGGAAAATGAAAGCCTGATCTGATCGAATAGCTTCAATTTAGAGAAGAAAACATCAGCACTTTCTCAATGGGTCTCAGAAGGGAAGTCTGAGAAGCCAGTAGGTGGCATTGTGGTTAAGACGCTAGACTTTTACATGGTAGACTGCAGTTCGAGACCCAGACCCAGAGGATTGAAAATCATTCCAGGCATGGTGCATACACACGGGCCCAAAATCCCAAGAGGAGAATGAAGGAGAAGGGACTGCAGTGTGGCTATCCCCTCCCTGGGGTGATTTCTCACTTTCTCGCTTCTGTGTCTCTCCAATAAGCGCTATGACAAAAACCTAAAAATGAAAGAAAAAAAAAAAAAGAGAAGTCAGATACAAGGCGTGAGAACAATGCAATGTGCCACCCTGGCTCCAAAGAGCAAGGACCTCATGACAAGGACAGTGGGCCACACACAGAAGCAAAGAACCACCAGGAGCTGAGCTCTCCCAATGAGAGTGAGCTTGGAAGTAAATATGAGAACTCAGGCTGTCTACACCTCCATCTCCGAGATACCCAGAGCAGAGCATCCAGCCACGCTGTGAGCCTGTGACCTACAGCGCTGTGAGCTAACACCTGCACACTGTGAGAAGCTGCTCTAACAACTTGATCATTTCGGGTCTTACTTTACAATGTGCAAGGTGGCCTTAGCCGTGGTGAGTGTAGGGCTACTTAGTCCCTATTACTGGAACAAGACCTTCAGAAAAGACCTACCCGATGCTCCAGGAATCAGAAGTTTTCCAGTGTGGCTGGTTGAAATGGGCACTATTCCCCACCCTCCGATTCTTTAGAAGACTCCTGCCCTGGCTTGGACAGGTTCCTCGCATGCATGTCCTGCTCCGAGCTCGGCAGAACACTCATAGGAGACCCTGTGCAGATGCTCGAGGTTCTCTCTCTGTGGCACCGACCTCTGGGGTCCCATGAACTCAAGCTGCTTGGTTCTCCTCCCAGATTTTCACTCAGTTCCATGCCCCTGGCTCAGGGACTCTGCTGATCCACCTCACTTCCCCTTCCTCTGCTGTTCCTAGAAGCCCTCTCGAGACAATAAGCTGGAGTAATTAGAGGACTTACCTCCTTGATTTCCCTTCTCTCAGGGACCACAGTCCGTTGCTGCTAATGTCCAGGTCTTGAGAACCACTGTATTGTTTTGTTGTTGTTGCTATTGTCTGGGCTGGAAGGTAAACCCATTCTGCTACGCCATCTTGCCTAGAAGCAAAAGTCTATAAACATTGCATTTTTAAACTTATTTATTTATTTAACTTTATTTCTCATTGTTAGTTTTTAGTTTGACCAGAAAGAGACAAAGAGAGAGAGAGAGAAAGGGAAAGTGAGAAAGCAAGCTGCTGGGATCAGGACTCACACTGCAGTCAGCCATGTGGGAGTCTGGCACCGACCTCTGGGGTCCCATGAACTCAAGCTGCTTGGTTCTCCTCCCAGATTTTCACTCAGTTCCATGCCCCTGGCTCAGGGACTCTGCTGATCCACCTCACTTCCCCTTCCTCTGCTGTTCCTAGAAGCCCTCTCGAGACAATAAGCTGGAGTAATTAGAGGACTTACCTCCTTGATTTCCCTTCTCTCAGGGACCACAGTCCGTTGCTGCTAATGTCCAGGTCTTGAGAACCACTGTATTGTTTTGTTGTTGTTGCTATTGTCTGGGCTGGAAGGTAAACCCATTCTGCTACGCCATCTTGCCTAGAAGCAAAAGTCTATAAACATTGCATTTTTAAACTTATTTATTTATTTAACTTTATTTCTCATTGTTAGTTTTTAGTTTGACCAGAAAGAGACAAAGAGAGAGAGAGAGAAAGGGAAAGTGAGAAAGCAAGCTGCTGGGATCAGGACTCACACTGCAGTCAGCCATGTGGGAGTCCAGCGCCTTAAACCACCATGCCACCTGCCAGTCCCTAAACATTGCTTTTACTGATTTTAAATGTAGAGAGCTGGCCCATAGCATGGCAGGTAAGTGCAGCACATGGGGAGCCAAATACTGATACGGCCAACCACAGTTCAACCCTGGCCCTAGTGGCTTCAAAACCATACCCGAGTGTGCCTAAAATCATGATGAAATAGAGAAACAGAGGAAAGAAGATTATGACGTGATCACACCCCATCAGGCAGTGCTTTCTCTCTCTCCCTCCCTGTCTCTCTAGCAAGTGCATACACCCTCTGGCAGAAAAATAAAAAAGACTGTATTTTTAATTTCCATCTTTGAATAATAGGTTTTATTATTTTCCATGTTTACATTGGCAGTTCTTTTTTACTTTGCTGCTTGATATTCTTTGCTCTTTGTATGCCAGAAATATAAAGTTCTCTTTTTAATTTTATGCACATCTATGCAACTAAAAGCAAAATGGGGGACCAGCAGGTGGCATAACGGCTATGTCGCTGGACTCCCACGTAGTCGACCATGGTTCGAGTCCCGGACCCGGTGGCTTAAACTCACACCGGGCACATGTGCATGCATGCCCAAGATCCCAAGAGAATGGAGAAGGGATTGCAGCATGGCCATCCCCCTGGGGGGTGATTTCTCACTTTCTATCTCTCTGTCTCTCTCTGTCTCTCTCTATCTTTATGGCGAGCGCATGCGCCCTATAGTAAAAACCTCTTAAAAATAAAAAAAAGATACATGGCTTCAGCCTCACCATGCCAATGAGACAGCCCTCACCACTGACGCCCACTGAGGAGCATTGCAAACCTCTCAATTTTTCTCAATGCTTTAAAACCATCAAACTATTTCCATGTAATCTGAGTGCATCCTAAAACAAAGCTCATGAAGACTTACAGGAATATAAAATATCTAGTCCCTAACACAGTGAAATTCACAGTATCTAAATATTACCAAGCATACAAAGTGACAGAAAATACAACCCATAATAAAGACAATAGTAACTGAAACCAACTCCAAATCTACACAGATACTTGAATTAGCAGTAAAAGACAGTAAAACTGTTAAAACTATTTTATACCACCATGAAGTTAAACCGAGGGCCAGCCCTGTGGCCTGGTGGGTCAGGGGCCAAATCACATGTGGCCACCTGCAGTTCATGCCTCAGAACTGGTGGCATGAAAATCACGCTGGGCGTGCGAGTACACCAACATGCAGACTGGAGGCATAAACCATGCTGGGCGTGCGAGTACACCAAAATGCCGAATGGAGGCATAAACAGAGAAGGGGTAAGCGCATCCCAGCAGTCAGGGAGGCAGGGAGAGAGGTGCTTTCCCTTCTCCCTTTCTCTATAGAGAAAGCATGTGCCCTCAGGCAAATTTTAAAAAGCAGAGAAATAGAAGGTATAAAAAATCCAAAAGATTATAGAGAAAAAACCTGCACTGACTGGGATGAACGCACCGGAGCAGCAGCAGGTTAGACTTGCAGGAGAGCAGCTGACGGAACCAAAAAGCACAGTGAGAACAATACCCACATGAAGTGCAGAGAGAAAGACACAAAAGAAAAAGGAAGTTTGGGTGAGCTGGGAAGAACTTCCATTGGCCTTTACTTAATTTGCTTTTTTCTTATCTCATTTTCTTCTTTGTACTCCTCACTCTCCTGAAACACTTTCAAAAGGAAAGCTTAGCCTAAGTCTAGTTTCCTTTGCTGCATCCTCAGCCTTTTCAATGACCCCCACCCCACATTCTAAGGACACGTAGCAGGACTCGCCTCATTCTGTCTATACCAATTCACAGCCCACCACAAGGCTGGCTTCTCTGCTGGGTGGACAAACCGCTCTGTCATCTACCCCAACATCTCTGTCTACCCTCAAGCCACTTCCAACTCAGTCCAGGGCATGGGTGCCACAGCCAGAATGCCTGGATTCCAATCGCTGCTCCACTACTAGGAGTTTCTTCACCTCTCAATATCCCAGTCTCCTCATCTACACAATGGGGGAAAGTGAGAAAGCAAACTGCCAGGTCTGGGACTCGAACTGCGGTCAGTCGTGTGGGAATCCAGCACCTAGCTCAGGGGGTTACTGTGAGAGTTAACATTTTTAAAGCACATTTATCGTGCTGACATCTAGTGATCCACAGGTGTCTTTCTAGATTATCCCCTTACAGGCAAGTGGCATCGCAGTTAAAGGTGCTGGATTCCCACATGACTGACCGCAGTTCGAGCCCCAGACCTGGCAGTTTGCTTTCTCGCTTGCCCTTTCTCTCTGTGCCTCTCTCTCTGGTCATTTTTTTTGGACAGGTTTTTGCTATAGGGCATGTGTGTTTGACAGAAAGACAGGGAGAGAGACAGAGAAACAGAAAGTGAGAAATCACCCCCCCTCCCCTAGGGAGGATGGCCACGTCACCATCCCTTTTCCTCCATTCTCCTCTCGAGATCTTGGGCACACATGCAAACACGCACCCAGAGTGAGTTTAAGCCACCGGGGCCAGGACTCGAACCACAGTCGATTACATGGGAGTCCAGCAACATAGCTATTACGCTAACTGCTGGTCCCTCCTTTTGCTATTTTAAAGGAAAGATTCACAGGTTCTGGGGACATCTTTGGGAGCTCATTATTCTGCTGACCATAGGAACAGAGATGGACTGAAAGGTGTGCTTCAACTGCCCGGAAGAAAGCCACAAATGGTGCTGCTGGAGCTCGAAGTGGTCCCACACACAGCTCCGAGCGCCCCCTGGTGTGCTGCCTCGATGACTGCTCAGGTTCTGGGCCCTGATAACTTTTTTTTTTTTTTTGAGAGGTTTTCGCTATAGGGCACATGCGTTCGCCAGACAGACAGAGAGAGACATAGAGACAGAAAGCGAGAAATCACCCCCCAGGGAAGATGGTCACGCCGCAATCCCTTGTCCTCCATTCTCTTCTCGGGATCTTGGGCATGCACACACACGCGACCGGCGTGAGTTTTTTTTAAGCGACCGGGTCCGGGTCGCGAACCGCGGTCGACTACGTGGGAGTCCAGTGACATAGCCATTATGCTAACTGCTGGTTCACGGCCCTGATAACTTTTCAACCTAATTGACACTGTGCTTGCCTCAAGCTCCCGACATCTCACGTAAAAGCCACCTTTACTGTGAGGCCTTCCTGCTCTCTCCCGAGAATCCATGGTTCCCATGCCAGAAATCAAGGAGCACTTGGTCTGCTCTTATTCTAGCATTTCAACCTTCTGCCTTTCTCTACACACAAATATTTATCTGACTACCTTAGGATGCAACAAACCACTCAAGAACTAGCACAATCTTGGGGCTGGCAGGTGGCCAAGTGGTTAAGGTGCTGGACTCCCACATTTGAGTGTTTGAGTCCCAGATCTGGGGGCTTATTTTCTCGTTCGCTTCCTCTGACACTCTCTCTGGTCAAATTAAAAAATTAATAATGACAAATAAAGAAAAAAAATTTTTTTAAAGAATTATGACAATCTCATTCTAAAATCTTGAGAGGCTAGCATAGTATTTTTTACTTCATGTTCCTTCTCTGTGGCATTAATCAGTACTTAACAAGGACACAATGTTAACCTGTCTGCTTTCTAACATGTCTGTCTTGAGGTCTCTGCCATAAAGGTCCAGTACCTGTGGGTCAGCATCCAGTGATGAATAAGGGAAAAACCATTTAACTGGGTCATATGGATTATATATACATATATTTTAGAGGTGTTTGCCTGAGAGCACGTGCACTCACCAGAGATAGAGACAGAGACAGAGTGAGAAATCACCCCCCTGGGGAGGATGGCCATGCCACAATCCCTTCTCCTCCATTCATTCCTTGGGATCTTGGGAGCGCACGCACACACATCTGGCATAATTTTCAAGCCACTGAGTCCAGGACTTACACTGCAGTCGTTACTGCTGTGCTACCTGCTGGTCCCATGGAGTACGTGTTTCTTAATAAAAGAGAACAGGATCTTTTGAGATGCCAAATAAGTTTGCTAAAACTTTTACATCTGCAAGAGACAAAAAATGATAAATAGGACCTTGCAAACATAAGGTTAAGACTCTGGAGCCAGCAGTGACAGCAGAGATATATCTAAAGACACAAAAGGATCAGGCATCTGTAAAACCCAGCAAGTGCACCCTTACGGTTTGTGCATTTCATGTTGCATCATTACTTTTAAAGTTTTTTACTGGGGCTAGGAGGTGGCGTGGTGGTTGGCTGACCTGGACCTAGTGGCTTGTTTTCTCACTTTCCCCCCCCTTTTTACTTATTTCTCATGAGAGACAGTGAGAAAAAGAAAAGGTACCCCAGAAGGGTCTTCATGCCATCATCCATCCCAATCTCACATAATCTAGACCACGGGCATGTGAACGATCAGCACACTCAGGGAGGTCCCAGGA